AAAGTAAAATATGGCTGACGAAGTATAATTTGACATTGTTGAAAAAGTCGACGTTGATCATTTGAAACATGTTTATTAAATGTTGCTGATGCTTGCTGCAATATAAATCGATAACGAAATGCTGCTGATGGTAATATACGACAAAATAATAATAATGCTGATATGACATCGACATTTGTTAATGATGAAGAATCTAAAATAAATAATATATAATTTCTATAGTGAAAATATTTCTCTTTAAAGAATATATATCACACTAACCTTCATATTTTTCTTTTGAATTCAAGTTTAATGAACGTTCAAGTAATGTTTGACTCGCAAATGGATTTAACCCGGATTGAACACGAAATATGGACTCGAATAAATACAACTGAAAAAAATAATAATAAAATAAAAAGAAACAATAAAATAGTAATAAAATTTCATTTATAATTAGATGATAATGAAAACGAACCCGTTGTTTTGATAAATTCATTGTTTCAGTGCAATGTTTATAAATATTTAATTCATTTTGAAAATCTTCCAAATATACGGATGTTGATGATGTTGTTTCTCCTGCACTCAATAATCGTAAACGTATGGATAAACTAGCGTCAATAAATAATGCCATACAACTCTAAAAGAAAAGAAAACCAGTAATTCAACTACTAAAACAATTCGAATATCAAAAAATATAAAGGGATACCAGACATATTCGATCGAATTCAACTTCCTTTTCTTGTTACACTGTATTTTCACTGCATAAATCAAATAATCATAATGCAATGCAACTACAATGCACAAGAATGAGTGAAGAACTACGAGTATATATTATTATAAGTAAAAAATAGAAAATAAAAATAAAAATGAATATTTAATAACATACCAAATTTAATTCATTATCATTATAAATATCGTCTGTTACCATTTTACTAATACGAGCAAGTTTTTGAAATAAATATGTTATATTTGGCTGTTCGGTATCATTTAACATCAACAGAATATCATGTAAACATTCTCCAATTGAAATAAATTTTTCACTAAAAATAAAAAAATAAAAAAATAAAAAACAATTTTCTTTTTTGTATATTAATTATTTACACTTACTCAATTATATTTTTTGAACTAACAAAATCATAAATTGTTATTTTATTTTTTATTGTATATTGAATACTTCTATTGTATCTTATATGATCTGTTGATACTAATTCATTTATATCATATTCACCTCGAACACATTTAATTAATTCTATAATATGTTGCCACCATTGTAATTGTGTTATATTTTTAAATTCTTTTTTATCAAATATTGTCATTGTTTGTCCTGTACCATCTTTTAATAATAATTTCATAACATTTTCATGTAAAACATAATCATTATATTTATCATGAATCCATCTTATCATTTGATTATTTAAATATTTATATTTTCCTCTTTCGATTGAAGAACTAAATGAATATTTATTTTCATTATTTGTTATTGTTATAAACTCTAATACATTATCAGAATCTAATAACCAAGTATAATCATCATTTTTTGATAAATAAACCCAATATTGATTTCGTTTCATACCAATATGAATTAATGGTAATGATAATTTTTCAAATAAATATTTTATTATTAATATAGAAAATAAATATATTTCAATACGAATAGTTATTTCTAATTTTTTTCCAGCACTAAATGATGTATTCAATAAACATAACATAAGATTAAATAGACATAAATGTTTATGTGGTTGATCATTTAACATAAATTCAATTTTCAATAATTGATAATAACATAGAGCTAATTCACGATTACAATCTCGTGTATCTATAGATTTTGACCAACCAGACCAAAATGTTAACCAACGACCAACAAATAATTGATTTACCATAAAACGAGTCATTTGCCATGTAATAGAAGATAAATAATCTAATAAATGATTATCAATAGGATGATATAATGTCTGACAACATTGAAGATAACATTGACGTGCAGCATATAGTTGATTCTAAAGACGTTAAGTATTATTTTTATATTTTTTCATTAAAAAAATTATTAAAAAATAAAAGATAACTAACCTCTGCCATATAATGATCAGCTTTCTTTTTTCTTGCATAATATTCATTTAGTTCTGATGTTGGAATAATTGGTTCACCATGCACAAATAATTTGATTAGACAACATAAAACAACTGCTATGTTTAAAATCCATGCAACGATTGTACGCCAGGATGATATAAGAAGATCTCAAATAATAATATATATCAATAGAAAACAAAAGAAAAACAACAGCTATTGTTGTCAAAACTATAATTACCAGATGAACCATCTTCTCCACTAATTTCTTGAAGTGTTCTTGGTACAATATGTGATCCAACTAAATTTTCATCATTTATATTACTAGATGATGATTGTAAACTATTGAGTAAATAACTAAATGGATTTGTTATAAGTATACAAAGCATAAAACAACAGAAGACTAATCGGGAACCATTAACCATGCCACGACGTTTTTGACCTATAAATATTCACAAGTATAAAAGTAAAATATCTATGATAAATATTGTATATAAAATTAATAAACTTACGTTTGGGTGCCGGACTAAATATTTCACTATCTTCACTACCTGAATTAATTGTTGATGACGATGAATCAGCCGAATCACAACTAGATGATGGTGGTGGTGTAGGATTTTGTTGAACTGTTGCTTCATTTGAATGATTGTCAGAAGGAGATACAACTGAAATTTTTGCTGTAAAATCACCATCTAGAAAATAATAATAATAATTGGATATTAGTTTTTAAATTTTTCGAATTTAATTTTTGCAACGATTACGGTTGCAAGTAAGGCAGAAAAATGTCTTAAAATGTTAACTATACTTTTCTCTTCAACTTAAGCTGTCCCACGATACTCTACGGCAGTCAGTTTAGAAATTATAGGCAAAATAAAATGATAAAAAAACGTTACGGAATTCTGTTACAGTAGCAGTCAGTGTTAGCTGATCTCTATTATTCATCGTTTTTTTTGTTTTTATTTACAGCAAATATTATTTACCTGATGCGAAACAGTTTAAGTGTTGTTTAATCGTACAGAAAATAGAATGTCTGTATTTCAGCGCTAGTTACATTTTTTTTAACAGTAAACTAACTAAAGTAAATAATATTGTGGTCTCAGACTAACCTACTATTTATGTGTGGATAAGTAATCTTTTTCTTTTTCTGTTTTTTGTTCCATCTGTGTCTGTATATTCATCGAAATGAAGTAAAACTAATAATAATAAGAGCTAATCATCATCAAGTTGATGACAGGACAACTGGTCTACTTCAACCTTGTTAGATATTGTACATTTCTTTCTTTTCTTTTTCTTATTTCTACTACGACACTATCCATGTACTCTTTTTAAATTCTAATTAGTTAAAAATTAAAATAAATGTCATATTCTGCTCTTTTATGTCTATATTTCATTTATATATACATAAATATTGAACAGACATCATCTTTTAACTGTATACTTTGCATTTTTTTGTTTTGTTTTTAATCAAAAATCTGGATAGTATAAAAAAGATTTTAAACTAATGAATCGCCTCTTACTTGTCAAATTTAATCGTTTCAAAATTGTTTTTAATGTTGAATTTTCTTCTTCTAAACGTCGATTTGTTGATTCTAATTGACGAATATAATCAATTGTTCGACGAAGTATACCAGATTTTTGAACCTTTGAAACAAGTAATAATAATAATAATAATAATAATATATGTTACGGGGATATTTCTGACAAAAAAATGTGATGAATTAGACACAAGCAAATTTAAATTGTTCAAGTTTCATTTAAAATAGAGGTTGGATGAGAAAATTCAATACTGTACGATCTTTTTTCTTTTTTTGAACTCATAAATATATAGGATCTTTCGTTTTGATCTACTTTATACAAGTGAAACGACATTTTAGATACTTTTCGGTGATTAAAAATTCATAGAATTGATTTGAATGTAAAACTGCACGCTTTTCTACTTACACTATTATCTACTATGAGTATATACCATACTTCGGGTGTCTCTCTAACTGTACTAGCTCGTATTATTTACGATATATATAATCAATTCTCATTATTTATTTAGATAAAACTACAACACTTTTCTTTTCATTGAATATCAACACATTCTATTTGTATTCATAAGTTGACTTATTGATGTTGAGAAATAGAATAATACACACATACAATGATAGCAATTCTCTATTGCTGTTATCATTTATTAATTTGTCTTTAGACATGTATATATATATATATATATATTCACCCTTTAGCTTTCAACATAGGATCATTAGGCGTATTATAAATATAGATAGAGTTAATAATACGATTATGAATGAATATTTTATATGTGATGGATACTTTCACTTGCCATAATCAAATCATACACACTTTTGCACAAATTAATCATTGACCGAAACAGAAATATAACCAACACGTTTATTACTAGACGAAACAATTATTTAAAATATAATAGTAATGAGTATGATTTCTTGTACTATTGAAACATATACATTATATTCTATGAAATAATGACAACAACGAGTTAGTCAAGAAAGAACTTGATTTAAAACCATGATAAAAATCTAATTTTAGAGTATCGTAAGGTTGACAGATAAGTGGTTGAAAGTTCACGAAAGGTCAATTCGTTTCTATCAACACTGTATCTATAGTAATGAGCAAGAAAAATGTGTTTGATATCATATGTGATGAATAATGCTGTAGAGTGTCAACGCTAAATCAGTGACGTAGCCAGGATTTTTGGAGTGGGAGGATCAAATTTCATTTTATCGATTTAAAATCGAAAAAATAGTCGATTTTCCATAGGAGTATTTTTTATTTTAGTGAATTTTTTAGAATTTATTCTTGCTTATCTTGGCAAATTAACTTTTGAACCATCCTGTGTTTATCTTTGAATTTTATTTTATTTTTTCTTTTATACTATCTATTACATTTTCTTTTTTTTGGTGGGCCCGCGCCCCCCCCCCCACGTCGATCCCCACAACTTCGATTTTTAACGCAAAACGTGAAAAAAAATTGAAAGCATTTTTTCTCGTTCTCGACACGTTTGTACAGGAAACAACTATTAGCCGCAATAAAGATGCATTTTGAAATCAGCAGATTCAGGAAGGATGGTGTTTCACTTTACGTGAATAAATTCATCCACTCAATCATTCACTTTATAGATGTACTAATAGAAAATAGAGTTTTTCTAAAGT